GTAGTTCTTTGAAGCCTTGCAGCTGAACTTACTTTTTTTTAGCACATGCTTGTTGGGAGCTCAGGCCAAACTTCGTTGACTGGGACGAGCAGTTTCAAAGATTCCAAAAGGTATGTTTTTTTTAGCTGTGTATTCTATTATTTTTTTATGGAGTTAAGTGGTATTTGTAATGGTCGACATTTTGTGGGGACCGTTATGGATGATTAGTGAGGCTTTGTTTTGTTGGCAGGTACCGACTGTTCAAAAGTTTTAGAAGATGTACAAAGGCTAGTTGGGAATTTTAGAATTATTGAGGGAGTAAAAAAAGAAACTTGAAACTTTATATTTTGGAGGTTTTTTTCAGAGAACTGACAGAAAAGCAAAAGTTTTATTATATCAAGCTCAGTAGTCTTCCTTCAGAAATTACAACGACTGCGGCCTTGGAGGATTTTCTTAGTCCATCGTCTCCTTTGCGCCTCTCTTCTGTAAAGACGATTTTTGACCAAAACAGTATGGTTAATGGGAAATACCAAAAGAAAAAAAAAATCAGATGTTGCTCATTTAGCAAGCACTGTGAAAATCAATAGTTTATTTTTTTAGGGTTTCCTTATTACTTCCTAGTTCGCCTGGAAAATGTTGACGACATGCAAAACGCATTGGATAAAGATGGGGAGAAAGGAATTAAGTAAGGGCGTTATTATTCCCATCTTTCTTAATTTCGGACGTGTTTTTCTGCCGGGGAAATTAGGTTTCTAAGCTTATTTTTAGGACTCTTACTTACTGTAATGCGGGGTATCCTACAGCACTAGTGGTTTGCAAAGTGTAATTTAAGTTGAATACACTTCGAGAACATTTAGGTGGAACTTCATAACTTTTCAGAATTCTAGAAAAGTTAAAGGGTTTTCAGAGTTCAGGCATGTTCGCAGGCTTTTTTCATCAGTGCAGTTGATGGTGAGATTAGAAAAGGAAGATCAGAAAGTGTCAAAACAGATAGTTATTCTAGCGAAGAAGAAGCAATTTCCCCGAAGCGTGAATCTTTCTCGGTTTACTTAGTTGTCAATCAAAATCTTTTTTATCTTTCCTTCAGTGCTTTTGATTTCCTTACAGTTTCTTTAAAAAACTTATTCAAACATTTTTTAACCACAGAAGTTTGGTATTCTTTGTGGTTGTGATTTATGCTTATTTCATTATTGCTTTGATATACTGGTAGTAAAACTTTGTTCAGTTGAACTGTTTTAGAAGAAAGTTCTGCTGGAAAAGTTTAGAACGGGAAGTCAGAGGTCGCGCAGTCGGTCCCCGCATGTAAACTCTAGAACTTTAGAAGTGAAACGTTTGGAACGAGTTCACTCACCTGACCAGCGTCGCGCTGAACTAAATGTTAGCAAAAGGAAGAAAGATCGTGATCGACGTGGGGATTACGATCGATTTTCTCCCACGAAACGTCGTTATAGGAAAGGGTCACCGAAAAAGTCAGATCATTCTCCGCCGCAAAGAAAGCAGGAGAAAGAACCAGAGCGTAGTCGCTGTCATGGGCAGGTGACTAAAGAGCCTTGTAGGCGTACAGGATGTAGCAAAGAAACTTCCTCTAAGAATGAAGCGTCTTCTTTGAAAGCTGATCATTCTCAGGAAGAATTTGGCACCTCCGAGGGAGGTATGCCTTTGGAGTTAGTGGATAAAGGGGTGAGTTTTCTGCGCAGCTCTTATTTTTTTCTTTAGCGTGGTTTAGATTAACACGAGAATTTCTGAGAACAATCCGTTTACTAGCTTGCAGAGTTTATCGCGTAGTTCTAATGATGCTGTAACGGCTGCAAAGTCTAATTCGAGTTTTCCCGAGGTTGTGACAAATAAAATGATTTTCAAAAGTACAACAGTCATGGGTGGTTCAGAGGTAGAACAAGGGAAGCATAGCACAGTTGCGGGGAATGACGGAAATGCAGTGGCAGACGTTCAAGTGGGAGGTTTTGCTACTAACTGTGATATTAGCAGGTCCTGTTTTCATATATTTTAAGAGCTAAGTGTTTGAGGTTGATGCTAATAGAATTAATGAGACGAGTTTTACAGACAAATTGGTGAGAATTTATCTGTTAAAAGCAAAGACAACCTAGACGGTCTTATGAAGTGTAAGAGAGAGGAAAAATTGGAAGGTCAATATTATGTGGAGTTTACGAACTTACCTTTGTCCGTCACTGAGGGGGAAGTAAAAGAGTAAGTTGCTCATTAGCTCGTACATTTTTAGTTTTTCTACAGGGACTAACATCTGATTGATCTGTTCAGCTATCTGGGATGTCTCTGCAGCAATGCCACAGTGAAAAGAGCGTGCTTTAGAGACGGAAAACCGTCTGACCGGTGGGTAGCAGTGTTCAAAACAGAGGAGTTAGCTGAAAGGGCATGCCATATATTTGGTGAGATACAAGGACAGATAATAATCCCTCGGAAGCAAGTGTTCAAGCTGCTGTTGGAAGTTTTATGTTATTTTTAAATTATGAAGACTCGTAGTGAAGAAGCTTGATGTTCAGAGTATTGCTTTATTACAATATCGATGTGAAAAACGTGTGGCTAAATTTTTTGCTTTTTGTTGTTTATTATTTTTGACACTCGGTATTTAAAAACCTGTGGAATGGTTGGGTTGTACTTATTTCACGTGGGTAATCATGGTTTGAGACTACTGGATTTTATGACCTTTCAGGCTAGCGAAGCAGGAAGC